CCAGCCTCTGTTTAAAAGCCTCCAAAGAAAGAGCCTCTGCCACACTCTGGGGCAGAAAGTTCCACTGCTGAACAGCCCTCACAATCAGGAAGTTCTTCCTAATGTTCAGGTGAACTGTCATTTCCTGTAGTTTGAAGCCATTGTTCCACGTCCTAGTCTCCAGGGCAGCAGAAAACAAGTTGCTCCCTCCTCTCTATGACTTTCCTTCACATATTTATATGTGGCCCTCATCATGTCTCCTCTCAGCCTCCTCTTCTGCAGGCTAAACATGCCCAGCTCCTCATAGGGTTTGTTCTCCAGACCCTTGATCATTTTAGTCACCCTCTTCTGGACACATTCCAGTTTGTCAACATCTCCCTTCGATTGTGGTGCCCAGAACTGGACACTTGTCTGTGGTATGTCCACACATTCAAATCAAAGCTCACTTTCTTGAGAACTATCTGGTCTAATAAGTTGTTAGCTATCTTTCCTCTCCCCTTAAGTAAATGGTAGTGAATTGGTTCATGTACGTATTTCCATAGAGTTGAAGTTTCTGGTGTGATGTGTTGGTTCGATTGAGACTGGTTCGATGAGTTTCTGACTCATGAGTCTCACAGCCTCCACTTTTTTTAACAATTTATATTTTGGTGGCAAAACTTACACATCTATGCTTTTTCTGTTAGGGAAAACTACCCCAAAATAAGCAGAGCATCCAAAATACAAACAGGATACCAATCGTTGAGCATGAGCTCATAGTAGGCAGAGCATGAAGTGCCATTGGTTGTGGCTGTAAAGAATTCAGAGCTTAGGCAGGCAAAGATCTTAAAAATCTAATCTTAAAAATCACAAAAGGTTTATTTACAATAATAATAATAACTGCAATGCTTAATAATAAAGGACTGGGTCTGAGCGATGCTATACTCGTCTCTTCTAAAGTTTCAAAGAGAGGTAAAAAACAACAATCACTACATCTCTCCTGACATGCAGAGAGAGATATCTCAAAACACACAACATACACAGATGAAAAAGTAGAAATCCGTTTTTAAGTCTTGCAGTAGAAAAGTATCCATTCTACACAACCAATCAGAATTAGAGCAGAAACAGAGAGAAGAGAAGAAATTAGATAAATTCCAACTGTCATACAGGAGACATGGGGAAAGGGAATCTTTCAGCCTATTCTAAGCTAAATTCTTGTTGAGGTCTGGAAACTTGAATTCCAACATGCCAAAATTACTAGACAAAACTCCTTCCCCATTTTCTTTCTATGTTGCTTTTCATACTTGCTCAGGAGGTATTTCTCAAGGCAGCTGTTACCTGGCCTGTTGCATGGAAGCACACAAGGCTAAATTAGAAGCATCTAAAGGAGGTTCCCCTTCTTTCCTAGTTCCAAATGTATTGTGGTGTTGATTGGAGACAAGCTGCATTCTCCAGCCCTTCTTCGCCATCATCCAAATAATAATGATGCAAACAAACCATTTAAATAAACTTCCACCTAAATAATAGACAGGAAAAGTGGGGAGGCTGGGTTGGGCTTCTGTAAAAAGACTGTTAAAAAGAGCTGCTGTGACAGAGGCTTTGTTAATGGAGGCATGTCAGTGTTGTTTCTCTCCAGGGCAAGTTTTTCTGCCCCTTCTAAACACTCTAATGGGGTGGAAAGTTGTTTTAGGTCCTACGCCCTTGCTTTGAGTCATGGGAGCTTGCAGTTTGGTCTCTTGGGGCTTGGAAACGTTCTCCTAGGCATCCTCCCTCACTAGCTGGGTACTCCTGGTGTGCGTCTACACCACATGTCTCAGACTCAAGACTCACAGGGCAAATTCGGCCTACCATGTCATTTTATGGAGTCCTCTGGATGCTGGACTACAACTCCTGTATTCCTCATCATTAGACGTCATGACTGGAACCAATGGGAGTTGTGATGCAGCAACATCTGGAAGGCTGCAGTTTGTTCTATTTAGTCAGGATAGTGATGTTTGAATTTAGATACAAGGCTTGTGGATAGGATGTCTGACTTTAAAATGTCATTCAATTTTTCCCCAACCTCAGAGCCACAAGTGTTGCTGAGTTGCAATTTCCATTACCCCCAATCTGCATGGGGGATAATCAAAAGTGATTGCAGTTGTCAATCAATAACATCTGGAGATCCAAACTGGGTAAAACCTGACCACTATATAAGTGAGGAGCCATGGTGGTGCAATGGGTTAAATCAGTGGTTCTCAACCTGTGGGTCTCCAGGTGTTTTGGCCTACAACTTCAAGAAATCCCAGCCCGTTTACCAGCTGTTAGGATTTCTGGAAGTTGAAGGCCAAAACACGCGGGGACTCACAGGTTGAGAACCACTGGGTTAAACCCCTGTGCCAACAGGACTGCTGAAGGTCATCAGTTTGAATCTGTGAGACGGCGCTTCCTTCTGTCAGTTCCAGTTTCTATGCAGGGACATGAGAGAAGCCTCTCACAGGATGGTAACACATTCTTGCAGATGCCCAATTCTCTCACACCAGAAGTGACTTGCAGTTTCTCAAGTCGCTCCTGACATGATAAAAAAAAACCCCAACTATATAAGAGCACTGGCCACTATGTAAAAAATAGTTTATTTTATTTTATTGTATTTTATTTACCCTATTTATATCTCACTTTTCTCTACCCCAAGGGGCACTCAAGGTGGCTTACATATGCCAATTATTCAATGCCTTAAACACATATAACATTAAACTTGAAATCCATTGAATTAAAATTAATATATATAAAAATTTAAAAATTACATTCAGTATTAAAATCATGCCATCCAAAAATCGTAGTCTGAAGCTGTTCCATAGTCATAGCACATATTCCAGTTATATTATTGCACTGCTTCTATGAAGTTCTGGTCCCAGAGCCAGGTTTTCACTCTCCTTCTGAAGGCTAGGGGGGAGGGGGCTGATCTAATGGCACTGGGGAGGGAGTTCCACAACCGAGAGGCCACCACTGAGAAGACCCTCTCTCTTGTCCCCACCAGTCACACTTGAGAAGAAGGTGGGACCAAGAGCAGGGCCTCCCCAGAAGATCTTAATCTCTGAGATGGTTCATAGGGGGAGATACATTTGTATAGGTAAATTGGGCCAGAACCATTTAGGGCAGTGGTTCCCATTTTTTTTGACCAGGGACCACTTGACCAGGGACTACTTTGACCAGGGAAAACTCTCCAGCATTAGTACCAAAAGGGTTACAAATCAGTTTTTGGTCAACTTTAGATTTAGTTTGGTTATTTGGGGTGTTGATTCAGAAAATTGCATTGGATAGATGACAACAGCTCTAGTTTCTGATACAAAACATATGCCATCCAGTAGTTGCCATCTGATGCCCACAGAAAACCATATTTAATAAGCCTCAGCATTATAAGACGGTTTTGCAAGACCAGTTGTTCTCATTGCAATGGTGGAGGCCGCAGATCATATTTTAGTTCTTGCGCACCACCGGTGGTCTACAGACCACAGGTTGGGAACCATTAGTTTAGGGCTTTAAATTGTGTTTGGCAGCCAGTGGAGCTGACTTAATAGGGGAGTTGTCCCTCTATATCCATGGATTCTCCATGGAATCAAGGCAATTTGTAGACAAACATAAGGCTGATGCGGCTCTCAGTGCAAATGAGTGTAGCATCCCTAGTCCTCACTGTAGGATAAGTGCAGTTGAAGTGCCATGGAGTTCTGGGCATTTTTGCTTTACAGGGCCCGTAGCCTTCCTCAGCAAGTGTAGGTGCCTCACCACACCATGGATCCCAGGATTCCACAGCAAGGAGCCATGGGGCTCCAAGGGGTGTTATACTGCATCCATTCTAGAGAAGAGATGCACTTCTGGGGTCTTCTGGGATTCCAGGAGGGTGCAAATGGGGCGAGGGTCTGGGGAGGCCCAGTGGAGGACAGAGATGGCCACGCTTCCCCGGGGCTTTTTCCTCCTCCTGCCCAGGTCTGTGATGCGAGGGCAGCCTCTCTGGCAGGAGCCTCCATTGTGCAAGACTGAAGACTGACAGGTCGGAGGTTCGAACCTGGGGAGAGCACGGATGAGCTCCCTCTGTCAGCTCCAGCTCTCCATGCGGGGACATGAGAGAAGCCCCCCCAAAAGATGGTAAAACATCCAAAAATCCGGGCGTCCCCTGGGCAATGTCCTTGCAGACTGCCAATTCTCTCACACCAGAAGTGACTTTCAGTTTCTTACCCATGTGGGGACATATGAGAAGCCTCCCACAAGGATGGTAAAACATCATGGTGTCCCCTGGGCAACGTCCCTGCAGATGGCCATTTCTCTTACACCAGAAGTGACTTGCAATTTCTCAACCATGTGGGGACATGTGAGAAACCTCTCACAAGGATAGTAAAACATCAAAATATCTGGGCATCCCCTGGGCAACATCCTTGCGGATGGCCAGTTCTCTCACCTCAGAAGTGACTTACAGTTTCCCAACCATGCGGTGACATAAGAGAAGCCTCCCACAAGGCTGGTAAAACATCAAAACATCTGGGCATCCCCTGAGCAACGTCCCTTTGTTGTTGTTCATTCGTTCAGTCGTCTCCGACTCTTCGTGACCTCATGGACCAGCCCACGCCAGAGCTCCCTGTCGGCCGTTACCACCCCCAGCTCCCTCAAGGTCAGTCCAGTCACTTCAAGGATGCCATCCATCCATCTTGCCCTTGGTCGGCCCCTCTTCCTTTTGCCTTCCACTTTCCCCAGCATAATTGTCTTCTCTAGGCTTTCCTGTCTCCTCATGATGTGGCCAAAGTACTTCAACTTTGTCCCTGCAACGTCCCTGCAGACGGCCAATTCTCTCACACCAGAAGTGACTTGCAGTTTCTCAACCATATGGGGACATGAGAGACGCCTCTACAAGGATGGTAAAACATCTGGGCATCCCCTGGGCAACGTCCTTGCAGACGGCCAATTCTCTTGCAGTTTTTCAAGTCGCTCCTGACACAAAAGTTGCTCCTGACACGGAAAAAAAGCCTCTCTGGCAGGGGCTCCAGGGGCGGGGAGGAGGAGGAGGAGGAGGAGGAGGCGGGGAAGAGGAGCAAGACAGAGCAGGCAATGGGTTTGAGCTCCGGAGATCATCTGACTTGAAAGCCCCAAAGTGCGGAAGAGAGAGAGAGAGAGAAAGAAAGGAGACGCGAGGGGAGAAAAGTTTGGTCCCCGCTCGGTCTCTCCCGCTCCCCGATCCCGAGAGGGGGGCGTGTTTCTGAAACTTTCTTCCCTGGCTCTCTCTTCCCTTCCTCTCCCCTTCCCTTGCCCGCCCTTCTCCGCCTGCCCGCCTCCCTCCGCCTCGCCGCGCGTGCGGCTGTCCTGCCCAGGAAGATGATGGATGGCAGGAGGGCAGCCGCGCGCCAGCAGAGCAGCAAGGAGAGCAGCAGCAGCAGGAGGAGGAGGAGGAGGCAGCAGCAGGAGCAGGAGCAGCAGCAGCAGCGGCGCCCCAGACTTTGCTAAAGTCCCCTCGCTGCGTCCCGGACGGGCCTGGCAGCGCCTCCATCCCGGGAAGGAGGGCTTTGGAGAGAAAAAGAGGGGCGGGAAGCGAGCGGGAAGCAGCGGGCGATGGGGAGCCGCACGCCTGGCCCTGCCCGGGAGACGCTGCCCGCCTGAAAACTTCTCTTCGGGTAAAGTTGTGCCTCCCTTTCCCCCCTCCCCCGGTTCCTTCTTCCTTCTTCCCTCCTTTCTCAATCGCCTTCCTCCTTCTCTCCCAGCCTCTTCCCCCCTTTCAAGCCTCTTCTTCCTCACTTTCCGAGTCCCTTCTTCCTCCCTCTATCAACTCATCACACTAGAGAATGAATCCGCTTTAAATCCGGTTTCTGCCTCCTGCAAAATTCGGAGGTTTGTAGTTTAGGGAGGCTGTTAACGGCTCCTTCTTAAACTACAAACCCCAGAATTCTGCAGGAGGCAGAAACTGGATTTTAAGTGGATTTTTCCTCTCTTGTGATGAGGCCCATCATCATCATCATACAGCTTGGAACCAGTTTGAGAGGAAGTTTCACTACATAGAATTAATCCACTTTAAATGGGGTTTCTGCCTCCTGCAGAATTCTGGGGTTTGTTGTTTTGTGAGCCTGTGAAAAGCTCCTCCCTAAACTACAAGCCCCGGAATTCCGCAGAAGGCTGAAACCCCATTTGAAGTGGATTCATTCTCTGGTGTGATGAGGTCTTAGGGCATGTGATCCCAGGACTCAGTGTGACGAGGTCTCCTCCCTTTCCCTTCCCGCGGGTGCTTCGGGGTTCCCCTTGAGGCGCCTGGGAAGCCACCCCCTTTCTTTAAATAGCGGCGGCGGGGGGGGGGGGCTTTTTCCCGCCTGCCTCGTTTCCCCCTTCGCGGGTGTCTTAAGGAGAAAAGTTGGAGAGCTGCGTCCCGCGTCAAGACCAAGAGCCCTCTTGCCTCTCTCTCTTGGGGAAAGTTGGGGAGAACTTTTCCAACTCGGGGAGCAGGTTGCTACTCGGGGTCCGGTTGGGCTTTGGGTCGGGACGAGCCACGCGGCTCCCCCGTTCCTCTGTGCTTGGCAAACTCCGCCTTGGAGCGGGTGCCTCCTCCTCCTCCTTCCCTTTGGTGGTGGTTGTGGTCCATTGGGCCTCRAGCGGCTCCCTTGCCTCTCTTTGCTTGTTTCCTCCAGAATCGGAGGCGAGGAGAAGGAGGAGGAATCCAGCATGATCCCCCCCCCCCCGTCCCGGCTGAAACCAGTGGGACGCCTTTCGGGTCGCGCCTGTGGCGACCGGGTCTGCTGCTGAGTAGGGCCAGTGTGTTGAGGCAACGCAGAAGAGTCTCCTTCCTTCGGAGTGAGGGGCTTCAGACCCTCCTGGAGGGAAGTGGCCTGGAAGTTTGGTGTTTGTTTGGGAGGCTGATTCATCTCGTCGGCTTGGGCGGCGTTTTCGCCTCTCCAAAATCTTCCCTACCCGCCCCCCCCCCCTTTTTCTCCTTGCGATCTTTCGTCAAGTCTGTTTGCGAAGGAATTTCAAAAATCCGCCGCTGCAACTTGATGCCGGTGTGATGGGGAGAGACACGGAGGGAGCCGGGCGCCAGGCCTATTAAGGGTCGGGAGGGACAGGGGCTTCCTTCCACTCCTCTTCCCAAGCCAAAGGTTTGGAAACATTTGCAACTCGAAAGGGGGGGGGGTTTACCAGATCTCCCCCTCCACCATACCTCTTGCCTCCAAACGCTCTCCCCATCCATGGTTGAACCTCAGTCTCCCTGCAAAAGGGTTGGTTTGTTTTCATCCTGCTCTGTTCTACAGATGTTGATGTTGCTGTTATCCATGCCTGTTGTGCTCTGCAGAGTTCCTCAAAGTTTGAAATTGAAGTTGCAAAGCGCCCCCTTCTTCCTAGCAAGTCTTTGCCATGCCCCCAAAGATTAAATAAAAATACAAGGAAAATACAGAAGTATATGTTTAATTCAGTAGGGGTTTAGGTATGTATTCAAGCCCCCAGTGGCACAGTGGGTTAAACTGCTGAGCTGCTGAACTTGCTGAATGAAAAGTTGGCAGTTTGGATCTGTGGAGCAGGGTGAGCTCCTGCTGTTAGGCCCAGCTTCTGCCAACTGAGCAGTTCAAAAACATGCAAATATGAGTAGATCAGTAGGTACGGCTCAGTAACAACGCTCCATGCAATCATGCTGGCCACATGACCTAGGAGGCGTCTATGGACAATGCCAGCTCATCAGCTTAGAAATGGAGATGAGTTATGCAACCCAGAGTCAGACTCAAATACACTTGATGTCAAGGGGAAATGTTTACCTTTACGATATGTTTCATTCAGTAGGGTGTTAAGGACCTGCAGGGATCTTGTTCCTCATAGTCTGTGACAATGTTTCTAATGTGAGGGAATTGGCAATTAATTTTTTCCCAAAGTGCAAGCAACCAGCATTCATTTTTTCTAGCAACACACCCCTTCAGAGCTATGTATGCAGGTACACTACAGAGGTAAAGGTCTCACTCAGTAAGGAATCTGATTGTGCTTCTGATGTGAGTGGACTGGTAATTATTTTCCCCCAAAGTGCTAGGGACCAGCATGAAATCTGTGCCCATTGGTTTTCTGGAAACTTTCTTTCCTGGAAACTTCCCAGAGATGGGCAGCCAATGGGACGGGGACCTCTGCCAGTCCAGGCACTCCCATTTTTGCCAGCATTGGTCTATGGCTTCAACCCAATTGTCAGTCCCTACAACAGTAGACCTATGGGGTCCATAGGAACTTGGTAAATTCACAATTAATTCATTGTACTTATACCCTGCCCTTCTCACCCCTGAAGGAGGACCCAGGGCAGCTTACAAACTATGGCAATAATTCAGTGCCAGATTCAGACAATAACAGTAAGTTCAGTTGATTCAAGAGAGATGTTCTAACCATCTGATCCTGGCCCATGGGTTTGTCAAGCAATGTTTAGAAATGTTATGAAGGCCTGGATTGCTCAAGAAATGAGGAACACCTGGAAATCCTAGAATTAAAACATTTCGCATCTAATGTATCTCATCTGTGCATAGGAGAACACACAAAGCTTCATACCATTGTTTGTCATCTTTCATAGCGGAAAAGAATAATATTATGAGAGCTCGTCAAAATAACAGATGGGGTGGGCGTGGGAAGAAAAAGCAAAAGAAACATTCAATAAGATTCTCCCCCTTCTCTCTCTCTCTCTCTCTCTCTAAAGCCCTAAACGGTTCTGGCCCAACTTACCTATCCGAACGTATCTCAGCCTATCAGCCCGCCAGGGCCCTAAGATCTTCTGGAGAGTCCCTGCTCTCTATCCCGCCGGCTTCCCAAGCGCGGCTGGTGGGAACGAGAGACAGGGCCTTTTCTGTGGTAGCCCCTCGGCTTTGGAACACCCTCCCTTCAGAGATACGATCGGCTTCTTCGCTGATGGTTTTCCGGAAGAGGTTAAAAACATGGCTGTGTAGTCAAGCGTTTAACTAGTTATCAAACACTGAATCCATGGACAATTTGGACTGGTCAATTACGGACAACGATCTCTGGACTGCGATTTTTGTGATGAGAAGCATGAAGTTTTATTGGTGGCCCAATAATTCGTATTGTTTTATATGTTGCTGTTTTTAAATTGTATATTGCTTTTATCTGTTGTTAAACCGCAATGAGTCGCCGTTCCAGGCTGAGATACTGCGGTATATAAGTGTATTAAATAAATAAATAAAATAAATATTGACCCAAATGAGTTTATCAAGTCGAGATCAATGATGCCTCTGCCTAGAGCAAAGGCATCATTAGTCCTATAAGACAAAATCTATACTGAACACTAGAACTCTATTTGAATTTCTTTTGGTATATATCCCGTGCATATTTGGCTATGCCTTTACAACCCATGTGTATCCCTGGATTTTGAAGTTTATGTATTATTGACTGTAATAGATAAAAAGGCAGTTGTAAAACTTTCTCTCCGTTTCATGCAATCAGGTCTCTGGGGATGTCCAAGAATTTGAAAGTAAACGTTGCTCTCGCATGCTGCATAAAATAGCATTTAAACAAATATTGTATTGGCATGTCCCCTGGACCCAGAGCCAAAAGGCTAGAGTAAATAAACGATGAAATCCAAAATATACAGAAGTGGAAAAGACAGATTTTTTGCAAAGACTTACTGATTTGATCTGTTTGTTCTCGCCACCTTAGATTTAAGTGAAATACTTTTTTTTTAAGCAAAGTAAAACAAATGTACTTACTTTGAGCTGCAAGGAAAACAGATTAGACAACTAACTTTCACCTGGGAAAGTAAGTTTTCTAGATTAGAGTGGGAGATAGATAGATAGAAAGATAGATAGATAGCAGCTTTATAAAATACATGTCAATAGTTGCATATTGGTTATGCTGTAGTCTCTGGATATTTGTTAGTTTGTGCGAAGGTATGCATGAGAGAGAGAAAAAGAGAAGTATGTGTGAAAATCTTGATGTTTGCCTGGAGTGATTTGCATGTTGCCCAGAGTGCCAGGAAATTTTGACACCTGTCAAAGTTTGACTTGCCCTCAAAATAAATGGCACATTGATTCTAACTTCACATCTGGCAATACGTTTTCTTTCTCTCTCCCTCCCTCCCCGCCTTTCCCTCCTCTCTCAAACAAATTACCCTTAGTAGAATTTTTTGTGGGGCAATTAAAAGTAGGGCAAGTTTTGAAAAGTTATTAGACAACCCTTCCCATAAAGTTTAGGCAGTGGAAACTCAACTGATATTGAGCTGCTCCTCTTCAGTGAACCTTTAAAATACTCTTGTGTGTCTTTCTCAAACAGGTGATATTTAAATCAAAGTGAAGAGGAAGATTGACTTGGTCCTTAATCTTTTTGTTGCCTTAAGCATGTAACTTTGAAGCGCCTAGAAATGTAACCATAGTATCACAAAGGAAAACATATTCCGAGGATAGTTTCCAACAACCCTTTAATATCTCACTTTCTTCATATGTTAAAGGGAAAGTAGGATTGGGTGTCGCCTTTTGTATAAATGTCCACAGTTGGAACATTTATGTATTACTGAAACTCAAACTCCTTTAAAGGCTGAATGACATTGTTCACTTGTCCAGAATAGAATTGGATTGTCCTGATCTAAATAACAATTTCATGACTTACTACAGATTTGGTGGGATCTTTCTAATTTTTCATTTGATGCAAAGCATCTGGAGTT